TATGAATAGGTTATACGTTAGACGTGACGACAGGTCAACGCAAATACGGCGGACCACCACCTGATTGGACAGACCCTCCGCCCCCTCCCGGGTGTGAGATATTTGTGGGCAAACTTCCCAAAGAGATATACGAAGAGGAGTTGATTCCGTTGTTTGAAAAAGTGGGCAAAATATGGGACTTGAGATTAATGATGGATCCCATCAGTGGTCTCTCCCGAGGCTATGCTTTTGTCACATATTGTACTAAAGATGACGCACAAAGTGCTGTCCAACAAGTGAGCCCTGTTTGCCATGAATGTGATCACGTGTTGAACTAATAATGTTGTTGTCTATCTGTGTGTCAGTACGACGGGTATGAGATCCGGAAGAGTAAAGCCTTAAAAGTGAACGTTTCGGTGCCAAACCTGAGGCTATTTGTAGGAAATATACCAAAAAGTAAAAGTAAAGAAGAGATTTTTCAAGAGTTCACAAAACTCGCCGGTAAGCCATTGTGTGGACATTGTGTGTGATGTGATATAATGTGTCTGTCTGTCCCTTAGGAGGCCTTTCAGAAGTAATAGTTTATAGCTCTCCGGATGACCGCAAGAGGAACCGAGGGTTTTGTTTTTTAGAGTACGAGTCCCATAAGTCGGCCTCACTGGCCAAACGTAAGCTGAGTACTGCGCGCACCAAAGTGTGGGGATGTGATATACTGGTCGATTGGGCCGACCCTCAGGAGGAGCCCGACGAGGAGACGATGTCCAAAGTTAAAGTGCTTTACGTCCGCAACCTTACCACTGATGTCACTGAAGAACAACTCAAACAACTCTTCGAAGAGTTCGGATCCATAGAGAGAGTGAAGAAAATCAAAGACTATGCGTTCGTTCACTTCGAGGACAGAAATCTAGCGCTAAAAGCCATGAATGGTCTGAACGGCAGGGATGTTGGCGGCGCTCACATTGAGGTCTCGCTCGCAAAACCTCCCTCTGATCGCAAGAAGAAGGAGGAGGTGCTCAGGAATAGGGAAAGACGTGTTATGCTTATGATGCAACAGAGGGCTATGTATGTGTGTCTACTGTAGTGGTCGCGCGTGTGTCTAATGTATTGCTTCTGTCCATAGGATTGTTGGGGCGCCACGTGGACCGCCAGCACTGCCACTACAACCGCCTCCACCTCCGCCCCCACCACTCATTCCTCAGACGCGTAACACCAGAGGCCGTAACGCACAGCCAATGGCTTCACTGCCATCTCCATCAGCCTATCGACAACTCGGAGCTCGAAATTACGGTTAGTTTTAGTTTTATGACTTCTCTATCGGATTGAATTTGTTTTGTTTTATTCCGTTTACTCTCTGTTTTGCAATCAAACGCTTTTTGACCCAATTTTGCGTTTAGTCCCTGAGGTCTGATTGAATGTGTGGTTATTATTATGGGTTTACGTTATTGTCTTAGAATTAAACGTTTTGTTATAAATATACCGAAAGTACCAGACATTAGGCACTGATTAGGGAACAAATGGTGACTTATTTGTTGACATTTGAAAGGAGATGTTATCACTTATAAGAGTAAATAGAGAGAAGTTATGCTTAGTTTTGATTAAATGATGAAAAGTCGTGAAACTTTTGAAATCTAAACGAAAATATTCTTTGTTTATTGGGTGACTCGACTCACCGCCATATGCCGGCACCGGTAGACTACGAATGTGGTTATTATGGTTTTGATGAATACCCTGGGCCACCTCATTATGAGTATTCAGCACATTTTAGCGGTGACGGCTATTACCACCAGAATATGCTGTCCGCCCACTCGCACGCACCACCACCTCTGCCATCCACACCATTCCAACCACACTCTCACTCGAACTCAAAGACCAGGGCTTCGCGTAATTCTTTGGTAGGTTTTCATGAGAAAACTTATAGACATTCAAAAAAACACTGAAAACTATCAAAATCGTTGTCTGAATCTCCGACTCATTTGATTTGATTATACATTATATTTGAATATATGTTATAATATATATTATATTAATTGTTGTGTTTATAATAAAACAAAACAAATACAAAAACCAATTTCTGTATATATGACTAAATTTTTTTAATGATTTTGCTTTTAATTTGCTTTGTATTTATTACTGCTTTTATTTGTTTCGCAATTTCTTTATATACATTACTCACATTCAGGAGTTTTTGTATTTAAATATTTTATTTTACCCATCAATTCGATAATTTTGGCGATAATTAGATTTTATTTTGAATTGTATTTTGTTTTTATTGACTTATGTTTGACTCGCGGTTTTGTTTCCATTATTATTAAAAGAATTTGATTTGATTTGCAAAAGTATCCATTAATTTGATTATTTGTTTGTCAATCCGTGACTTCATAACCGATAACTATTCCGTATTTAGCTTTCATTGAGAAATTCGTTCAATTGTTGGCAATTGTTTGTCTGTTTTAGGGGCCGCTCAGGGGTGGAATTCGTGGTACAACTTCTATGACCCCAATGGCTGGTGGTTTGGCAGTACGCGGACGGGCGCGCAGTTCGGCTTCACATCATCACAACAACAGGGCTCCGGTTGGGGTCAGTACGGCAATGGGTCAGTACCTGCACAGGCCATCACATCAGGCTATGGACGTCGCAGTCTATGGCAACCAAACAATGGGAGCAAAAAGTGGAGGAAAACGCAGACAAACGGCGCAAAGAAGAGCTTCAAAACGTAAACTAAAGTCTAAAAGTGGAGAAAACGACTCTAAACTCAATCGCAATCAACAATCAAATGAAAGTAGTGGTGCTTTGGGAGGGCAGTGGTATGACGACCAGTTCGCCACTAATCTCGATGACAGTTGGCCTCAAACCTAACTTTTATTGATTTTTGTTTAATTCATTTATATATACATTATATGAGAATAACTTAAAGTTTTGTGAAGATTTCTTTTTTGTTTCATTAATTTTGCTTTTATTATATTTCGCCGAATATTATAACGATTATAATTATATTATTTAGTCATATGTAAGCATCACATGAATTGTTTCATTTGTTTTGCTAAATTTGCTTCACTTGTCGTTCTGGCCCTCCATTCAAAACAATTTACTAAATTTACTTCAATTTAAATTCGCTTAAAGTTTATGAATTATTATTATAATAACTATTATATGATTGTAACTTTATTTGTCTCCTAATACAAGAGTTTTGTTTTTCAGTCTATCTTTTAAAATATATTTTTAGAATTATTATTATTATTATTATTGTATTTTGTTTTCCTTCATTGGATTTTAATATTGCAAATGAATTATTATATTATTCGATGAAATTTAAAACTAATTCTTTTTGTATTTATAAAAAGATTTGTTTTCTATGAAATGGTTAAAAATATATACAATATTATGATTATTATTAAACATTTATGATATTTATTACAACTATTTGTATGTATTTATACATTGATTGCCAGAACGACAGCACCTTTTGATTGAAGTCGGATTTCTCTTTAATTAATGTTTTGTTTTGTTTTGAAGTTTTTGTGTCACTTCATTGAACGATAACTCAAAGGTTTATATTTTTGTGCTTTGAATTTGACTGTGATTTACAAATGATAAAAGACATGGTTTTGAACACAATTTGTTTACCATTTAATTACTAATTGTCTTCCAATCGCTTCAAATTTTAAGACATTTTGTTTTTAATTGAAATTAACATTTGAATAAAGAGGTAAGTTTTCTATTGAAACTACTCAATACTCTACCTGATTACTTTAGTACTTAATATTACTTTACAATATAAATGTTTAAATGTCATAGAAATTGTTCATTTATGAGCTTTAAATATGAAATAGATATAAAGTATTGTTACATAAAACATTAAAATTAATGCAATTTTAAGTCCACTTCAAGATTAATGCAAAATCTAAAGTTTTTCAAAAGTTTGGTTTCATTTTTGTCATCACAAATCTCAATTATCTTGGTGACTATGTTTAACGAAAAATATAAATATTATGATTGTTGAACTGAATTGCATGTAAACGAAACAAAAAAGTTAGTAGCTCAATCATTTTGGAAACAATATACAGTATATTGTAGTAATATTTGTGATTCATATGATTTGAATTCATTGAGGACTTGTCTTATCTTTTTATGTAATGTTTTAAATTAGTGTTACTTAGACTTATGCTTAAGTGAGTTTAACTGACTATCAAAACAACAAGTAATTCACTTTTATTTTAGTGTAAACTAAATAATCTCTCGTCACAGGGATTAGGCTATCAATTGGGGTTTACAGGTGTCAGACCAGCGATAAGAATGAGAGTCTATTTGTTTTACTCAATAAATTTATCGCAAATTTATCCGAAAGTATTAATTAGAAGCAAGAAGTCGCCAAAAGTTGGCTGAGATGTCATCCGCTTGTAATCCATGAGTGGTCTGTGAGTCCTACCATAAAAGAGTATCATTTAAAGTGATAGTTATGTGTTAGTCGTGTGTTTGTGGAAATGGATGGCATTTCAGTGGCCAACGGAATGAACGAACAAACGGCGGCTACTCTGCAGTGGTTGCAGCAGTACTTCTACGGCCGCTCCAGTGTCTCCATATCCCGATCCTCCATGTATTCCATGTATGGATCCTTTTGTCAGCAAAACAACTACCGACCCGTTTGTAAGGCAACGTTTGGCAAAGTATACGATATTAGCTTATATAGTGTATAATATATACACAATTTGTGTTCATTTATCATTCAATTGGGTTTCCGTTTATTCAGTTAATAAGAATTCAGTTCCCATTCGTCACATCCAAACGTCTGGGCGCCAGAGGACAGTCTAAATACCATGTATTCACGCATACATTCATTAAAACTTTTATTTCTTTATATAATTATATTCTATAATATTTAATGTTATAATGAAAATAATGAATTCTTTTTTATAAAGTATTTTATAACTTTTATATAGCTTTTAAAATCAGTGTTTGGGATAAGTTTTAAAATATTTTTCATATTTCAAGTATTACGGGATCGCTCTTAAAGATAATTCTCAAATAACAAGTAATAATGACTGCGATTACGACAAACCCGTGACCCGGTTCTCCCGAAATGCCCGACTCCTCAACCCTAACGACTATCACGCGATTCTCCATTCAATGGTTTCTGTGACAGAATCGCCGCAATCCACTCCTCTTGAAGTAATGCCCTTTAGTTTAGCAATAATTGAATTGAAAACTTTTGAATTCATGAAATTACAATTCATAGGACGAGAAATTGGTTTTTATAAACATTTATAAGATCCATTGTCAGTGTATTCTTGATTCTGCTTTGGCTCACAATTATTCGCAGGTATGTCACCAGAATTGGCGGTAAAGCAAAATGTTGCAAATTATTTGTATTAATACCTGTACTAACAGATGAGACACTATATCATACATTTCTGGCAACAACTGCCAAATCACGTGCAAATCGACTTAGAAGTGCTCAAAACTTTAGATCTTAACCTTTACTCAACCCTCGAAGATATATACTTAAGACTTGACGCCAGTCTGGATCAGTTGCGGCACTTATACGCCATCGCATCACTTAATCCTTTATGGCTTAAGAAAGCACTCGATAACTACAGTAACAAACTGGTCGGACGTTTGAAATTAGATGAGGCATTGAAATGGAAATATAGAGTGAAATCCAAATTTCAATTTATACACATTGCTAAAGTAATTTACAATATTTTTTGCATTTTAGTAATTAATATAAGATTTGTATTTAGGCTTTAGATTTATCACAAATTCATTGCTCAGTGAATGCATTGCGAGAACTCAATTACGAAGACTTGTATCTCATTAATGACAATATAATGCAAACTTTTATGTATTTATTGGACGACATAAGCGGTAAAACGCCGACTCTCGACAACATAATTGAATCAATCGATGATATGATCAAAAAATATGGCAAAATATTTAGCAAAGAATTAGTCATTCATTTGAGTCAAATGCATTCATATGCACTCAAATTATTAACTCAAATGCAGTCACAAAAATTCGGTGAGAATTGAATTGAAAACAAAATTTATTGAATTAATGGATTAATAATAATTCACTTATTTCTAGTTTCGTGTCACATATTCATGACTTTTCTCATCGATTATTTGCTCGAAGTTTGCCCCAAATAATCATTTTTGATGGCAATATATCTTTTTATCTAAATCTATGCATTATTTTAGAATCTAATTCTTTAGATAAAATAAATTCAAACACAAAAACATATTAAAACATAAAAATATTTGCTTTTATTTCATATCAAATTGATTTAAAATTTCATAATTAATTACAAGAAACTTCTCATCATTTCAATAAACGATTAAAATGCGAGATAACTATTGAAAGAGTAGAAAGGGATTCATATTTTGGTCAAAACAATCTTCTCGTTATCAGTGAGATGTGCGGCGAAATCGTTGAGGAACGGGAGACTCTTGAACTCACGCAACACTCCCGTCAGGTATTCCTCTAAATTCAGTTTTCCGATCTCTTCATTCAGCACATCGTCTTCACTGATGTCGCCGACGCCTTCCGCCCACTCCTCGTCTATGATTCCGATATCACTCGAGTCTAACTTCGCGGCCGCACCGCGAATAAAGCCATCGCCGGCGCCGCTCAGCTCATCCTCGTCCTCATCGTCGTCGTCATCACTCGTCGTCTGAATGTTCTTTATTTCCTCAATACTCTTGAGTTCAGCCAATAATAGCTTAAGAATTTTGACAGAACAGGGAACCATTGACCACTGAACCGGGTTTTTGGCGGTTTTCGATCGCGTCTTAACACCCGGAGACGCGTCATCGGAGGGAATGACATCTCCGGGAACTTGAATCAGATTGAGATTAAGGTTAGGGTCTTGTGTTTGGTGTAGAATAGAGTGCTGTAATAGTTTGCAAAGCGCTAGTATTGACACTTTGTTCTCATACGAGCCGAAGAACAGGTGCTGTCTATTCAACCAACTTATTAACACAAACTCAAGCGATGATTGATTGCCATTCGTGACGGGACTTATGGGCGCCGGCAGTGACGACAAAAAGTCAAGAATTGCGGGCAAATCGTAATAAATTAAATGAGCGAACACTAGGATAAGACTCTGGACTACAGACAATGTCTCGCAGATGTGTAGCCGCACTAATACTGCTCGCAATAAGTGGTGTGTGTTTTCACGTCCAATGTATTGATTGGCGCGAGTGATCAGAATTGTGATCAAACGGCCCACAAATGCAGAGCACGTCTCACTCTTTCGCGGGTCCAACAGATGGTGACACACCTGTCAAGTGATGAATGAGTCAATTAAATACAATTCGTTTAGAGTAATGAAAATGAATTACTTGTAAAGCGAGAGAAATCCCGTTTTGATATTCCGGAGACTCGACTTTAAAGGCAAACACCTGATCGACAGCTCTGACGACATACGCGCGGACACATTCGCCGCCATTCTGGAGAATGGGTGCGTCGTCTGGATTAGTGAGTATACAATTGACTGCTGCGGGGAATGCCTTCTCCATGAGTATGTCAGACAGAGGAACGGGAGAATTCCTGACAACTGTGGCCAATATGTCCAGAGAAATGGGTTGCAGTGCAGCCACTGTTTCGTTCATTTGCGAGGGATGTAGTATAGAGACAAGTGTGGGGACGAGGCGTTGCTGTAGCGGTAAAATGCATTTCTCATTCTTGCAGAGCTCGGCGAACACGTCTTGAGCGCAACTAATGAGTAGTGCGTCCGACGAGAACTTGAGAAACGTGGCGATGGCTAACGGCGCCACTTTGTTCTCTATACTGGCCGTGAAGTCCTTATCAATTGATATGAGAATACAAACGGTTTCCAAAACAACGGACAGCACTTCAGTGCTATAACGGGTGCCGATAGACAACAAGCCTTCAAACATTGGCCCCAAATATGGTTTAATGAGAGCTGTTTTGTCAGACGCCTTGATGTGATCGCAAAAGACAAACGTGGCCTTCGCTGCCGCGATTCGGATCACTGGCGACTCAGCCATCAGTCCACTGGTTGTTGACTGAAGAAACGAATTCAAAGACTCGCCGCTCATTATCTCTGCAAACCGAGAGGCTGTCCAAAGGGAACGGCCGGTCAGGAATGGAGAGATATTGGTAGGGATTCTGAAAACGCCGTCTAAAATGAGCTTAAAATCGTTAGATATGGCTAACGCCACGGGTGAGGGCGACTGGTTTTTGTCGAGTGAGGACTGGACGGCTTGAATGGTCTCTATAATAGTGGGCGAAATGGATCCCAAGGCCAGAAGACATGATTCTTGTATTTTCCACCAATTCCTCGCTTCCGGTGTCTGTTGTTTGGAGAGTTCGGTCGACTCGTTGTAGTGTCTGTTAATCGCGTTAACAAAAGATCGCTTGAATTCTTCCAACTTTTTGGCCGAATGATTGTCATTGAATTCTTGAGCGATCGATAGTATGAGATCTAAGGCCGATATGCGGATCGAATACGAATAGGAGTCGTCGTCCTCGTCCTCCACGAACTGATCCGGATTGTCGATCCAAGAGCTCGACTGATCGTCAGTTATTTGCATATATACGATAAGAAAGTACAAGAGTTCGGTCATCACTGGATTCACTTGTCTGCGGAACCGTTTGCTTTCGATGACAACCGTCACGAAGTCGAAGATAGCGAACACAAGACTCTCGAAACCCAACACTTCTCCGTCAGAGTCGACGACTTCGGCATAACTCTCGAGTTCGTTGTCGTAGTCGAAGGAATTGACGTTCACTATAGTCTTGACGTATATGTTGGCGGCAGTGGTGAGACTGTGCCAAACGGGCGCTAAGATCTCTGGCAACCATTCCTTCATTTGTTTCTTACAGTTCCGCAACAAAATGGACAGCGAATTGATTATATCTTTTTTGATGCCCAGATCCACATCAGGACTGCCATCCGGCAGAACCAGTGCACTGACCAATGCTTTCGTGAATTGCTGCAGAAATGGCTCCAAATAGAGACGAATGGCATTCTTGTCCAAGTCGTCCATCTGTGCGATGGTCTCCGAGATGGTGGTGAAGATCTGAACGGCTCGGCCGCGGGTTCGCAGAGAGAACTCTTTGGATGAAACGAAGATCTCATACATCTTTGGCAGTAAAAGGGGAGCAATGGTTGGGATCTGACAGTCGACCACTTCGTGGCTGAGCTCTACAAACACTTTCATCGCACTGTAAACAGTGATTCCGTCGCCAGAAGACAAGTAACCGATGAGAATAGCGCCCAATTGTGGCCACTCTTCGGGCCAGTCGTAGTGGGCTATCGTCGACACCGCGTATGCCAACGACGACCGCAACTTCTTGTCGTCTGACATTTGGCTCAGAGAACAGTTGAGACACTTGACCAGCGTTTCCCTTATCACTGCCTTCACATTGTTGGGCACAACCGGAGGAATGTATTTCTTGTGGTCAGCCGTCCAATGGCTGTCAATGTATTGCCTGAGAAGGACAGCCGACAACTGTCTGATGGACAGACCGATCGACTCGTTGAGCGCTATCTCTATTAAGTGAAGACCAAACTCTACAAGAGNAACCGGAGGAATGTATTTCTTGTGGTCAGCCGTCCAATGGCTGTCAATGTATTGCCTGAGAAGGACAGCCGACAACTGTCTGATGGACAGACCGATCGACTCGTTGAGCGCTATCTCTATTAAGTGAAGACCAAACTCTACAAGAGGTGAGTCAATGGATTAGTGGTAAGACATCAAGTGGTAAGACCTCAAGAGTGGGACACACGAGACATACCATCGCTGGTCTCCAAGAGTTTGAACTGTTGTTCGGCATTAGTTCGCACGGCTTTGTCGGTCGACAGGATCGCCAACAGGTTCTCGTACAGCACTTCCTTCAGTGTATTGTTTGCCATAATGTGTGCTCAGAGTAATGGACACCAAATAAGACAATGACTGAAGAGATCAGCTCGACGCTGATTGTGTGTCTATTGATGTGACTATTGATTGCATTTTGTTTATGCTTTCCATTCACGCATTGTATCACTGAATGCAACTTTCACTGCATTGGAAGTCCAGTCCATGCAATCAATGCGTTCACACCAACCATTCATTCAGTGCTATATTTGTCAACAATAGCACTATTCATTGATTGCACTGTTGGCGCCAAATATGATTGAAAAGCCGCTAAACATCACATTCAATCCAATGCTCTACATTCATGTCAATGACACACCTATTACTTACCTAGTACAGTACAATGTTATACGAAGTATTTTACTCATTTTTAACGCAATTGTAATCATATTAGTATAATGATAATATATTCATACAATCAATAGTTCATTTTGAGAATCAATTACTAAAATATACGCAAATATATGAGCTTGGTGATTATAACTGATACATACTCAGTTGTACTGTACCACATAACTCATATAACTGTCACAATATTACAGAATAAGAATTTTAATTAAAATAATTTATTAGGATATAAATAACATTACAATTAATAGGTTATAAATAAATTTCTATTGGATATATTTTTAATTAATTCATAATACTGTAGCTATTAATTAGTTTCTAATTATTAAACTTTATAAACTGTAGTATATTCTGGATGAATTTCATCAAATAAAGAGTTTATAAAAATAATTTTAAAATTTTAACTTTATATTATAAAAATAAAGAGTTTATACAATAAACACTGTTATTTACATTTATTGCAATTATTTATCCAGGAATTGATACACTGTACAGTATTTGCAGAATTAACACATAATAAATATTAATAATTGCTTTAATTATTTAGAAATAAAAAACAATAAACAATATTTATACAACTGATAGTAGAAACGTGTTGTAATTAATATGATAGATTATAAAAATAATTAATTAAAAAAATTAATCACATAAATGATCGACAAATATTATAATGAACGTGCATTTCAATATTTAAGTCTAATTTAGAAATGATGGACAGGCGTCCCACTATACCCTTGAACATGATTTTCTGGAATTATTTAAGTCGTGTTATACTAATAATGTTTGGTATAATAAGTGACTTCTTAGATATATTCAAAAATACAAAGTTTGATGGCAAAGAAGTGGACAGAGAGTCATACACTCCTTTGTACAACAAATATCATGCATTTTATCACAGGAATATGTATCGCAGAATCTGTGATATGTGGCAATTCACCATCAGTTCACTGCCCGCCTCCACCACCACTGTATTGGAGAAACAATTTGATTCGCATAATATTAATTGCAAGTATTAAATGCATTCATTTATATTCATTGAATTCATAATTGGTTGCAGAATATTCCTAACAAAATGTGGCAATTATTTCAATAGGTTTACTGGAAATCGATTAGATGTGATAAACTTAGGTTCTTATAACTACTTGGGATATGCTACCAATGAGGGGCCCATAACTGATTCAGTTGAACAAATTATTAAACAATTAGGGGTTGGCATCAGTAGTACAGCCAATGAAATTGGTATGAATGAAAACTTGAGTTTATTGTCATTTAAATGTTAATCTTATGTGAGGACAGGCCGACAGCAAATGTACAGCGAATTGGAGTGTTTAGTGGCTAAGTATTTAGGAGTTGAAGACAGTATTGTCTATGGCATGGGATTTGCAACCAATTCCGGCTCAATTCCCGCACTCATGGGTAAGGGATGTCTCATTATAAGTGATGAACAAAATCATGCCTCACTTATATTGGGCTGTCGGCTGTCCGGAGCTGTCATTAAAGTATTCAAACACAACGGTAAACAATATTCAATACTATTATAGTATGATTAAAAGTTTTATACAAAGATATGGATGACTTGGAGAGGATTGTGAGGAACAGTATAATTGAAGGACAGCCTAAGACACGGCGAGAGTGGCGTAAAATCATAATTATTGTCGAAGGCATCTATAGTATGGAGGGAACGATCGTTTCGTTGCCGCGAATCTTACAAATCAAGAAGAAATACAAAACTTACTTATATTTAGACGAAGCGCATAGTATCGGTGCTTTGGGATCCCGGGCCAAAGGTTTATAGACATCAATACTCAGCACAACTCTTAACATTAGCCTTAATTTATCTATGATTAAGGAGTTTGCGATTACTATGGGTTAGATCCAAAAGACGTGGATATATTGATGGGAACGTTCACCAAATCGTTTGGCGCTTCCGGTGGCTATATCGGAGGTACACCTTATTTATATTAATTCACCACAATTAATAAATTCAAATGGTCCAAGGCAATAAACGTCTCATCGATTACTTGCGCCAAAAGAGTGCCGACTTTTATTACGCAAATCCTATGTCTCCGCCGGTTATGAGACAAATATATTCAGTAATCAATGAATTGATGCAAACAAATGACAGTCAAAGCAATGCTTCCCAAAGAGTACAACGACTTCACAGAAACACCACTTATTTGAGACAAAAACTCAAAGATTTGGGTTTCCATGTGGACGGACACACAGACTCCCCGGTCATCATTCTGCTCGTATACCTCGAGTCACCCCTCAAGTTAGTCATACCTGTCCTCTACACCTGTTTTCCACTTATTTCAAACACTTTCCTTCAGATATCTTATGCGCCGACTGTTTGAGTGCGGGATAGGAGTGGTTGGCGTCTCCTTTCCGGTCACTACTCTATTGGGAGCAAAGGCTCGCATCTGTATGTCTGCCTCCCATTCCCTGCAAACCCTTCACTATATCATCGATTGCTTGGATCGCATCGGAACTGATTTACACATTAAGTATAATTAAAGACAATTATAATAGATTTGAATGAATGGTATGCCATATATGAATAGTTTTTAGATTATCATAATCGCTGTAAATATAAATTCAAATGTGCTAGAATAATTGTCACTAAAATCAACAGTACAAATATATCAAATTAACCCAGGTATACTGTATTTTGTTAACATTTAATTGTGTTATAGTACAGAATTTCATACAAGAATAGTCTAAAAGTGTACAAGAATATAAGTTTTATTATACCTGTAATTAGAAAGTTATTTAACCATTTAATATAGTAATTAACTGTAATTATTGGTAGTGTAACAATAATTATTATACTAATTAATGTAAAATCCTATAAATTATCAAATGTAATTCAATGCAATCGTATAATTAAAAAGTCAAAGAATTTCAATGTAAAAGTGAGTGAATATACTGTGCCGTATAGATGCATACATACAGTATAAATAACTGTATTGAACTGCAAATGTATTGAACTGCAAATGTATTGAACGTATGGCACAAACGCTAATGTATTTGAATGCATGGTATGAATGAATGAGTGCTTTTCAAAGTCAGTTAAAGTATGGTTTCGGAGCAGATATGCAGTGATGCGAGTGTTGGACGGATAGAGTGGTCTGTCGGGAGGGGAATGGTATGAAAAAAAGTAAAACCACGCTTAGTATGGGTGCAAAAGTACGGGTCCGGACCGGACGACTGGGCTGATCGCAAGTGCCTATTCACGGGCGCGAACCCACTACTGCTAAACGCGGGAACTTTTGCCTGCTGCGTCTCCGCCCTGGGCCTATACGCTCCTCTCAAAAGTACGGGTCCGGACCGGACGACTGGGCTGATCGCAAGTGCCTATTCACGGGCGCGAACCCACTACTGCTAAACGCGGGAACTTTTGCCTGCTGCGTCTCCGCCCTGGGCCTATACGCTCCTCATTAGTCAACCTGGAAGGGCAGGGCTCCCCCCGCACCCCCATATTGACGCAAAGCTTAGTGCGGACACCCGATCGGCATAGAGAACATGCGCTCAGAACCCCCAGTCACTGCCCATCCACCG